CAATATAATAAAAATAATAAATATATAATGTTATGAGATTTAAGCTATTTCGTCCAAACATTTATGTTTTCATGTTATAGTTTGTGTTCATTATAGAATGAAAGAGGCATAATTTGTTTATTTCCTAATTTTTTTATGGTGGTTGTGAGATCATTCAAATCTACTGAACCTGTACAGAGATTAATTACTGAAAATAACAGATAAATACAGTTTTTCTTAAGAAACATATGATAACTATCTGGACATTATAAAGATTTTGCATATGAAATTTCAAAATTTTCTGATGCATAAAAGTATTTTTAATCTTAAAATGAATATTACTTTGCATGACAGATAGGCAAGATGTGAAAAGAAAAAAAAAAGGCACGAGAGAAACATAGCTTTACAAACTTTAAGACTTAATAAATAATTTGATATTTTACATATGAAAGCATTGTAATGTTTACAGATAATCTGCCCAATTTCATGAATGTTCACTTACTAATCTAAAAGTTATAGCATGAAAACTATAACAAGCACAAAATGGTTACAAGGTCATCACATTGACTGATCTCGTATTGAAAGCTCTTGAAAATACCAGTATACTTTTTATTTAGGCATCATTAACTAACCATACATATAGAGACCAATTGTCAAAACAATATCAAATATTACATGATCAACATCAAAAATGTCTAAATGTTAAATATTATCCTTAAAACAATACCTTACTCAAAATATTATATATAGTGTAAAAAATTAATCAAAATGTTTTACAAATTTGTTTGTTTGTTTAGCTGTTTTAGATACTTAGGCAAAGTTATGCAAGGGCTATCCTTAACTTTCAACTGATAAGATTAGAGGAAAGGCAGTTAGTCAACACCACCAACTTTTGGACTATTCTAACTGATTAATGGGATTTTGCAGCAACAGGATGTGACCATGAAACCTCAAATTTACAGTCAGGCATACCAGCCACTAAGCTACACCTGGTCCTGCTTTGTAAAAAGAAGTCAATAAATGAGCTATTTTATGACATATCACATGTTTCAAGCTCTTATGTTTGTTATCTGCTCTCTATTTATATTTTCACTAGTTTCAAAGCAATTCCTCCCTCCACAGATAAAGAATTTTTCCTAGGCTATTCATCACATAATAATATCTCCATGGATGAACAATATCACTGTATTAACAAAATCCTGTTCACATATTCCAGGAAGCTGTTATGAATGGTAATATTGGTTAGTATTTTGTGGCACAAAGATATTTTCAAAGAAATATGTTTAAATGCTAGCATCCTTCAAAGTGTTGAAAAACAAAGGTTGGTCTATTTGCTGAGTAAAAGATGTTCTAGGCACTGATTCATCTTGAAAACAAAGGATTTTTAAAATAGATAAGCTAGATTGTAGATTATTCTTGTAATCTGATAAAATGGATGTTTTTCAAATAAAATTACACTACTAAATTGTAAAAACAAAAATTATTTATATTGTGGTTTAAATATGTTACACTAAAGAAGCGAGTATATGAGATATAATTTGACAGTACTGCTAAGCCTATTATGGATTCAGAGTAGCATTTTTTTAAAACTCAAGCAAAAAGCTTTCCAAAAGACACAGAATTGGTTTGTTATTTTTTGTTACAAGTTTAAAAAGTATATATTTCTATCAATATAAGAAGGTTTAAGGTTCTCATTCCCATACTCCAATAACATCAAATATCGTGGATAGTTGTGATGAAATATAAATGTAAGTATATTACTTAAACAATCACTTCTGCTGAAATGGTAGCTTTAATATTTCATAGTACCATCTACACCTCAAAAGTTAAAATAAACCTTAGAAATAAAAAAGATACAGCATTTCAAAGTTGCAAGTTCTGTGTGTCCATACATCTAAACCATTATTTGACAAGTGTTTATGTACAGTTTTCTTATTGGTTTCTTTCACAGAAGTTGTAGACAAAAGTTACAAGT